TCTAAGGAATAAACCCATTATCTAAACCACAACTGTGTGAGTCAGTGAATCAACAAATTTAATCTCACTAATTTTAGGAGGAAATTGTCTAAAGAAAAATAACAGTTGAAATTTAAGCTAGGAATTTTAGCTCAAATTATATCTTGACTATTATAAAATATCTTCACTATTATACAATAGTAAAAAGAATTTTGATATTTGTAGAATTTTATATTTTCCTTGAAAAATATTATGTTTTGATTCTTAATTTCTTTTTTTGGGGGGAGGGGGAGATTTTCGCTATAGGGTGCGTGCGTGTGCCAGACAGACAGAGACATTAGAGACAGAAAGCAAGAAATCACCCCCAGGGGGGATGGTCACACCGCAATCCCCTCTCCTCCATTCTCCTCTCGGGATCTTGGGCACACACGCACACGCGCCCGGCGTGAATTTTAAGCCACCGGGTCCAGGACGCGAACCGCGGTCGACTATGTGGGAGTCCAGCGACATAGCCATTACACTAACTGCTGGTTCCCTTAATTTATTTCTTTAATATTATCTGTTTAAATAAATAAAGTTTATCTCCCATCAGTATAACAATGGAATTTCATAATTATAAATCTCTGTAGGAGACTGAGCCTAAAGTTGTGGTCTGGAACTCAAGACTTTAGTAAATTTTGATGAGGCACATTATCACTTTAGTGACATCTGGTGACCATATAGCTTAATTGCAATACTCTTTTTTTCTTTTGATTTTTGCCATGAGAGACTGACAGAGAAAGGGAAAGTGAGAAGTCACCTTCCAGGGAAGATGAACACACCACCACAATCCTTGTCTTTCACTCTCCTCTTGGGATTTTGGACACACATGCATATGCATCTAGAGGGATTTTCAAGCCAGTGAGTCTTAGATTTGAAGAAAGCAAGCCACCAGGTCCAGGACTCAAAATGCAGTTGGCCATGTAGGAGTCCAGCACTTTAACCACCACACCACCTGCTAGCCTACAAGAATATTTTTAGAGTGGCAATGCAAATGCATTAATAATATGCCTTCAAATCATGCAATAATAGCTACAAGTGTTTCTTCTATTTCCTTCTATTATTTTTCTGTGCCCCATCTTCCTTTTTCTTTCTCTCTTCATCTTATAATCTTAGATAGAGCATATGGCTATAGCCAATAATATAAAACCTTTATACCCAAGATACCCAGTCTATTTCTGAAAGAACGAGTCAGATAAATTATTGAGTATGACAAAGACCTATAGCCAGGATTTCAGAGCTTCCCAAATTTGTGTAGTAAGACATCTACCAAAATTTTCATTCATTCATCTAGCATGTATACAAGTCCCCCCACATATGAGGCAGGTGCTGAGAATTCTGAGACAAGAATTGCAGCCCTTACCCTCAAGAACTTCACTATCTTATACGAAATAAAATAAATAATTTCAGTACATTTTAATACAATAGGCTAGAGGTAATCATAGATCGTTAATGAGCATCCTAGATGCTCAAACCTTTGCAAACATCTTTAATCACTTTAAATGGAGCAGGGAGCACTCAGGAGAAGCCCACATGTATGTTACACAGGGAGCTATCCTATACTTGTCTCCTTTTTCTCCTTTTTGGTACACTTGATAGAGGGATTAAAGCAAATAATGTAAAGTGTTTAAATTATTGCTTCAAATTTGGGAAGCACTCAAAATGTTGCCTAATGCTATTTTTCTATTCCTGTACTTATTATACTCTGTCACAGGCACCATAGTAAGAGTTAGGGATACTGAAGTGCAAAGGCAGCCCACAACCTCTAAGGAGCTTATGAGACTCAGGAGGAAGCAGATATACACATAAACAATTCAATAAACATGGTCACTGTTGGATTAGAGGATTAGGACTAGGAGCATGCCAACTACATTACATCTAGGAGAACTGTGTGTAGCTAGCTTCTAAATGGAACTGTCAAATATAAGCTAGATCTGGCCAAAGTATCAAGAAGAAGGGCATTCTTGCACACAGGTGCAAAAGCATATGATCCATTCAGGGAACTTTAAGTAATTCAAGTTTACTCATGTATAAAGTCCGAAGAGAGAGGGGTTGGGAGGAAGCTAGGCAAGACCCTCATCAGGAAGGATCATTAGACCATACCAAAGAAATTAGAATATATTGGGTTGGTCAGAAAAGTTTTTCTATGTAAAAATGCATCATCACTTTCCTGATGACTCAATATATGGTAGGCAAGGGATGATTCAGGCTAGTGGTCTGAAGGCTTCATGGCTAAGAGATGTCCTGTTTGGTTTCCACAGGGTTTTAAAAAGCAATGTACCTAGACAAGTCACAGTGAGAGCATATGTTGTTTTACCAGCAGTTCATACCATGAGTTTGTGTTGCCCGCCTGTCCCTGTGGATGTCTGGGTTTGCAAGCCCAGCTTACCTTAATAGAGAATAGAAAAATAATATCTCAATAGTATGGGGAACCAGCAGTTAGCATAATGGCTATGTCGCTGGACTCCCATGTAGTCAACCGCGGTTTGCGTCCAGGACCTGGTGGCTTAAAACTCACGCCGGGCGCGTGTGCGTGTGTGCCCAAGATCCTGAGAGGAGAATGAAGGAGAAGGGATTGCGGCGTGACCATCCCCCCTGGGGGGTGATTTCTCGCTTTCTGTCTCTATGACTCTCTCTGTCTGGCGAGCACACACGCCCTATAGCAAAAATCTCTCCAAAAAAAATGAAATAAAAAATATAATATCTCAATAGTATGTATCTCAAGAACTCTTCAAGAGTTACCGAGCAAGGGATTTTTGAGCAGGGGAACAACATGATTATACTTGTGTCTCCTTAATAGTTAGAGCTAGTGACTTGCTTTCTCACTATCCCTTCCTGTCTGTCTCTTTCTGGTCAAAATTTTAAAATAAAATAAAGTATCAAAAAAGTCATGTGGCACATAAGACAGAGGAATTAAGAATTAGAAATATTCAAATAATTCAGATGTGAGATTATGAGTGAGAGCAGCAGCAACAGGAACAGGAATAAAACTGACTTAACAGAAGAGTTGGTAGGACTTAGCAGATAGCTGCTTGTCTTTTTGTGTGGTGTGTGTGTGTGTGTGTGTGTGTGTGTGTGTGTTGGTAGTAGTAGTACAGCAAGAGAGAAGTGTCTGAAAGATTTCCAGGTCTTTAGTTTGGACAGTTGAGTAGATGGTAGTTGGAACTGCCATTCCTCAAGAAGGGTACAACGGGATGTGAGGGCAGTTTAGGAGATAAGATCCTGTGTTAGGTATGAATAAGTAGAGTTTAAGGGTTGTGGCAGGGATTCTGGCAAGGATGGTGATTGGTTGGGGTAGATCTGACCAGTAGCAAATTGTGGAGTTGAAACCTGAAGTGACAAAGTTCTCAAGCATCAAATCTAATCTCTACAACTCGCAGAGGAGGAGCCTTCAAACCCAGAATTAGACTAAGTGCAGTAGATCTCCCATGGCTGATCCATAGAGTTATAAAAAAGAACAATCATTATAACAACAGTAACAGTAATAAAACAGATGTTGTTCATAGCATTTTTACCATGTGTAAGGGCCTATATTGTTTCTTTCATTCCTCACAATAATAACCTTAAATAATATTGGGTTGTCGGAAAAGTCATGATGTATTTTTTCTATATTTTTCTATGCAAAAATATGTCAACTTTTTTTTTGAGAGTTTTTTTTTTGCTATAGGGCGCATGTGCTCACCAGACAGATAGAGAGAGACAGAGATAGAAAGTGAGAAATCACCCCCCAGGGGGGATGGCCACGCAGCAATCCCTTCTCCTCCATTCTCCTCTCGGGATCTTGGAAACGCACGCACACGCATCTGGCGTGAGTTTAAGCCACCGGATCCGGGACTTGAACCGCGGTCAACTACGTGGGAGTCCAGCAACATAGCCATTACGCTAACTGCTGGTCCCAACTTTTTAAACAACCCAATAGATGTGCTTATCATCCCCATTTCACAGATGTGAAAACTGAGGTTTAGAGAAGTTAAATGGCTGGCCCAAGTTGCATAGTAGTAAGGAGTGGAGCTATTAGGTAGTCTGGAAAGTCATGACCCATTTTTCCATAGAAAAACATATCATAACATTCCTGACAACCTAATAGAACTTAAGTCTGTCTCCAGAGCTCCATGCTGGTTACCACTCCACTATTCTGAGAACTAACAGATAGTGTAACACGAGGGGCACTCTGAAGTTTGTTTTCTTTTGGGAAAATACCCACCCTTTCCCTAATATGCACATGTGCCTAAATTTTTAAATTTAGAAATGTATTTCTTAGAGTCTAGAAGTCTTAGGTAGGAAAGTTTCTCAAATCCACCATTCAGGTCTAAATACTCCTTGTGGAGGTAAGGATATACAGAGGTTTGAATATACAGAGGTCCTCAGCCTGATTGTACTTTGGAATCACTTGGATGTGATTTTTAAAATTACCAGCATGCTCATTGATCTGGGTCACACACTATATATCTTTAAAACAGTAATTAAAATGTGCATCTAGAGTTGCAGACTGGTTTTAGTGGAGTGAATACAAATTGTCAGTGAAATGCAAATCAGAAACTCTGGAGTAAGGGCCCAGCCACCTGTCTGCTGAAGCCTTCCAGGTGATTCTGGTCAATAGCGTAGTGGGGTTTATGGACAGCCACAGGGGAGTGTGGAGCATTGGAGAAGGAAAAAAAGATTTGGATGGAAGCCTAGCCAGAGACAAATTCCTCTTCTGTACATTTAAAAGAATATTCCCTGTCCTTCCCCACATGTGGCCTTTCCAGTTGTGTCTGTTCACTCCAGAAGAGTTTGGGCAGAGTTGCTTCTGCATCTCCCAGTGGCCTTGTGGAGGGATGACAGAGAGACCAGGGTCTCCCTCCTCGCTGCAGCAGAGCTACTAAGAAAGCTAAAGTTTCCATGCATGGCCATAAGGGAGTGACACATTGACCTCTCCTTCAGTCTTCTTAGAAGTCAGAAATCTTTTTTTTTTATTTTAATTTTTGTGATTATTTATACATTCAATCGCTATACATCATTTGGCTTGCAAAGGAGAGTCCCACTGAAGGCAGAGGAGGGAGAGCTGGTTCTCCACAGAAATTGGGGGAGAATGGAACTCATGCCTTGGGAGAATAACCAGGACTTATTTGGGGGTAGTTTGTTGGAAGGGAGAGGAAACAGAAATACCACTTGCTGAGAAAGTTATGTGAAGGGAGGCTATCTCTACCTCATCCCCAGAGAGTTGAATGGAACTATATTGGGCCTTCCCACCACACCACTCAGGGGAGTTGCTTTTCCAGGGAGTGAAATGTTTTATTGAAGAAACTCCAAGGAGGGAGGAAAGAAGCCTAAGAGGGAGGCAGCCTGACAGGTCGACAGATGGAAACAGCCTTTTTCATGCATGTGGCTGAAAGCTGAAAGTCAGTTCCTCTAAAGGGAGAGCAGTAGTTCACAGATCCATGTTGCCTTTCATCTGCGCTCATAGCTTTGGACTGATGGGAAATGGGAAATCCACAGCCATCCTGTGAGAAAGAGAAAGGGGGCCCATGTTCAGAGTCTACTCAGCCGATAGCAAGTGAAACAGAGCCCCTGGAGTCTGTAAATCCAGATCTTCTATTCAGTTTTGCCACATCTATTAAAATGAGGATTAAAGAGACTTCTTACACAGGGTGGTTGTGAAGATAAAGTAAATTGTGTATGGGAATTGCCTGGCATGTAATAGGGACTCAACAAATGTCTTCTCCATGTTCCTCTTCTCCAGAAGTGCTCAACAGCTCTGGGCAAAATATCATCAATTCATCACTTTTCTTCTTAGGTTGGTTTTCTCAACTGAAAACACAAAAAGGAAATAATGAGAGCCCCTTCTCCTGGATGAAAAAAAATCACAAATGTGAGCTCCCAGTTCAACCCAATGAATATTATTAGTAATAACTGTACTTTGGATAAAATTCCCAAGTTATGATATTTCCACTCTTTAAGAATATTAACAAATGACAGGTAAATATCTCTCTTCATTTCAGTTTTTACATCTTATGGTTCATTTCAATGATCATGGTCTTTTGCAGGTTTTATCTAACCCAGTTAGCTAATCATTGATTGCAAATTTATTAAATATTTTAAATTGTAAAATAAAGATGGACTTCCTAAATGTATTGCTGCCAATACTTTTAGAAGACGTCTAGAAGTTATAGCCAAGGAAACACAGCACTTTTTCATACAACTCTAGAGTGATGATTTTTTCTAGAAAAATATCTCCTAAAAATCTGACAGGGCCAGCAAATAGCCTGTGGTTAAGGTGCTGGACTCCCACATGGCCGCATGGCCGACCACAGTTTGAGTCCCAGACATGGCGGCTTGCTTTCTCTCTC